TTGACATGGCCAGCCCTCAATCCTGGCACTGACTTGGGACTAGGGTGGTGTGTCTCATCCTGGAATTCCCTGTCTTCCCCATTTATCTTAAAATAATAACAATCACAATAAGCAATTATGCTAGCATACTGTAGAGTTAACACAAATATGGCATTAGCCAGGCCAGGATGTCCACAGCTGCTGCCTACTTTTCTCCCCAAAATGTAACATTTGCATAGGTATAAGGCAACCTAGGCAGTTGCCTATAGCTAGAGCATAGCACGCTATTAATTCAAAGACCTATGCATCTGTATCAAATAAAAAAATCAGTTTTATGCTAAGGTGTCTTTTAAGCATAAACCAAGCATAAGTGCTAAGGGATAATAGTCAATATATTCTTAAAAGTTCTCTCTGGGGCCTGATGCAGTAAGCCTACTGGCTAGTATCCATCTTGCACGCCAGTATCCCATATGGGCACCAGTTCTAATGCCAGTGGCCCCACTTCCCATCCAACTTCCTGCTTGTGGCCTGGGAAAGCAATTGAGGACGGCCCAAAGCCTTGGGACCCTGCACCTGCATGGGAGATCTGGAAGAAGCTCCTGACTCCTCGCTTCACACTGGCTCAGCTCCAGCTGTTGCAGCTGCTTGGGGAGTATACCATCAGACAGAAGATCTTCCTCTATGTCTCTCTTCCTCTCTGTACATCCGCCTTTCTGATAAAAGCAAATAAATCTTACAAAATTAAAATTTACTGATTTCATATAAATATATAATGGGCAAAAGCCAAAGACTAACTCATTAATGAAGATGCCAGCAGAATTATAAAGTTAATCCAAGAGAGCAAGCACTGTTCTGTGTAATGATTGAAGACAACAAATTGAGATAAAATTAAATTAGTATAAAGTTGGCTAATATTAATGGAAGCAATAAAACTATAACTTTTGGGTTATCTCTCGTGCTACACAGAGTCATCCGTCGAAGTGAATGTTGTGGCACGGTAGGTTTCGAACACCTGCATCCCCCATTGGAGTGCCTGTGATCCACTTGCAATCCAGTTTCCTTTTGACCAGTCCTGGCAGGCAACAGATGATGCTTCAACCACTGAAGTTCCTTGCGCCTTACTGTGCTGGCCCCAGCCCCGGCTAGTGCAGGCATTTTTAAGTAAACCACCAAGTGAAAGATCTTTCTCCCTCTTTTCTCTCTCATTCATTTTGGTTCTTTTATTACTATAAAGAGAACAGATTTCATGCATTTCACAGTTGCAATTCTAAGAAGATAATCATACTTCTCTTTCTCTCTTTTTGTCCCCATTTTGTCCTTTCTTTCCAATGTGGTCCTAGGCAGCTAGTTCAGGGTCCTGAGCTTGAAATCCAGACCTTGCTCAACTAAATCGTTCTTTCTGCCCACCTGTGATGCTCGCCTATCATCACCTGGAACCTGAGAAGGAGGGAGGTTGCATTGTTACATAACCATAAAGGCCCATGATAAGGAGGGGTTCACTCTCTTGGTCAGGTGCTTCCATTGTTCTGGCACTCCAATTCTTGGCCTCCCCAGTAATTGCTCTCTGGTTTCCTGTGGACAGACTGAGGACAGGTAGCATGACCCCTGCATGTCTGCATTCCTCACCCTCTGTTCCCTGCTCCTGTAAGTCAGTAAGGATGCAAAGATGCTTTGCATTCCTAATTTGTGTCCTTCTAAGAGTTCCAGGAGAGATGAGGTGTAGCCGTCATGGAATATGGACAGCCAGGAAAAGGTGAATGTTTGCAGCTTTGTAAGTGTGTCCAGGTGGCTCACTGCAACTCTCTTAGGGTAATTCTATTGTTGAAGAAGCTGGGACATAGGTCTTCAGTTTAATGGATGGGTTTCACGGTAATGAGCATTTGCTCCTCTTTGGGTTTTGATTCAGACTGGATTGCTACCAGGACTTGTCATTTGCTAATTTCTAGTGGGCACTGCCATCAGCAAGCTTGGTTAATAAAGACTCCTTAATATCCTAGGCTTGTCTGGCATGACCCCTCTCACATCCTGCAACATTTTGTGTTTCCTTTAATTTTTATAGTAACATACCTTCAAATCACTTTGTAATAGGGGTTCCCAATGCACTCCAACCATAATATTGAATAAATACAAAATAAAAATACCACTGTTCCACTGGAATATGGAAACATTCTGAATCTTGCTTTCACTCTTGCTGCTTCTCTGGCTTTGACTCTCAAATATATAAATGTAAATAAATAAATAATGTTTACAATTTTATTTGCATTTTATCTGTACAGAAATCATGCACCAGAACCCATTTTTTCAATTTATAATATGATATGTAATTTTAGAATTTTATTCTAATCTATAAAGAAGTTGAAAATGTAATGCTTGGATAGTTTTTTAAACAGAATATTAGACAAATTTCCATATATCATCTAAAGGGCATGCAGCTATTTGCTTGCCTTATTCACAAGTCTGATGTAATATTTCTTAATACCCTCTACCCACAGTAAAAATAGTTAATACTTAGGCTAATAATATGGCTTTGTACTTTGTACGCGTTATTTCATTTTGTTCTCAAAATCAATAGGTATAAGCTCTTTTGTTAACCTTACTATTTTATTACAAGAATTCGAATTAAAAAAAAAAACTTATTAACAGTGTGAATACTTTGAAGGCCGTTACTGCACTCAGTCAGCTACAGTTCTTAGAAATAACATGCTAATGGGCACTGTTCACATCGAATAGCATTCCCTGGCCACGATAGTGTCAGAATTTAAACATCATCTTAAAATTCAGCCAACTTGTAGATGCAAGATTAAAATCTCACTTCACATACTATCTGATTCTTAGCGATGATGACTTTCTGAATAGTTTCATATTTTTTTTTACAAAAATTGTTGTTAGCTTATTTTTGTATTGATGTTTACCACCCATATTTTTATTCCTTTCATTTTTTAATATCTGAGGAATACTAAGCATTTGTGCTTTTCCCCAGCTTTACTGAGACATAATTAACAAATAAAAACTGGACATGTTTAATGTGGACAACCTCTTTGTATTTAATTCTTACACATCAAAGAGCTTGGCATGAAACCTAATAGGTTATTTTATATGAGTAATAATAACAACCTAAATGAAACTCATTTGTGATAGCTTGAAACTCAACACAAGATTATGCTAGTAAAGACAAAATGTTGTTTCCTCTTTCTCTATTAAACTCTTTTATTGAGAAATTCAGTAGACAAGCACATATAGTTTTAAGAGAACTGACACTAAAGGGAACACAGATGTTTGTAAAAGTAGGATTCTTGGTAAACTGATTTCAATTATTGTATCAGTAAGTAAATAGCATAGGTTTAGAGGATTACATTAAACAACCTAGAATATCTGGTACAAATTCTATGATAAGTAATTTTTTGGTGATATGCCAGCAAAATTAAACCAAAACTGTAGTATAAGTGCATTAAAGTTTAATTGATATTGTATTGATGTGTATATATTCCTGAATATAGAAGTACATATGCATGTTCTTACAGGCTTATAAATATGTATGTTTTTTAATAAAACATGCCATTTTAAGGTTTGTGTTTTCAAGATTTCTCTGGAACCACTAACCATAAGTCCATTTTAGGATATTTTGGACTTTTTAATCATGCTGACATCCACAACTGACAAGGTCACTGAATTGAAATATTGTCTATCATATTTTTAACCGATTAAGATTTGGACAAATGTAAATGAGATATATAATTTAAAATTATAAAAACAAAATGTCAGACTTCAAATAATATAATGATCCATAAAGTGTGCAGAGGGGCGTTTAATAGAGAATTCTCCTAATAAACAGTGAAAAAAAGAACTATTTTTGTGTGTGTGTGTTGCACAGAAACCTGCAAATGCCAGTACTTTAAAAGCGCGTTAGAACACCTTTGAGGTCACTTTGGTTTGCAGTTTCTGAGTTGTAGGGCAGGCCCTTACAGACTGGGTGAGTTTCTTGGGTTCTTTGCCACAGCCCAGAGCCCATCACGTGCAGTCCTTTCCTGTCCTTTCTCTCCCCTCCTCATCTCCTGCCTCGGAAGCATCTGGCTGGTGTGGGTTGAGAACTGAGTTAGGGGCACGGAATTCTGGAAAATGCGCCCTGGAAAATGTCCCTGAATCCCCTCCCCTGTCCCTGCCCAGGGTTTCTCGCCCGGCGCCGCCCGCCCGACTGCCCGCTCTGCTGGGAAGCCCGCCCACCCTCGACCTCCAATGCACCCTCCACTCCCAGGAACTCCTCTGGGCGCCTCCCAGCTCACTTTACTAGCTGAGGGGCGGGAGCAAACAATCCACTTCTGTCTCACACTCCAGGGTCCCAGAGGCACTCCCTGTGAGTGGTAAAGACGAAGCAGGGCTGAGGGTGTCCAGGCCGGGACAGTCGGACACAAGCCCCAGAGGTCGTTGTGGGATCTGCTGTGATCCGTCCACCGAGGAGTCCTTGGGCTCCTCCACTAAGAACCTTGGAAATGTGGAGGAGGGGGAACTGAGAACAGCTCTTAACATCCTGAGCTCTGGGGCTTAAAATCTCAAGTGGTTTCTAAATTCACTTGGGCCTCCCTGGAAGAGTTGGAAAGTTCGGGCACCCGGGGAAGGATATTCTTCTGTGGAATCGATAGACAAAAGTGCTGTTGGCCCTCAGGATCAGGTTACTTTTTCCCAGACTGGAGCTGGCTGGGAGGGGGGTTATTATTTTTTTTCCAGTCCTTTTATGTGTGTTCAGCTCACCTTGTGTGGCTGGGTGTGGAAAGTAGGGGTAGGGGGTGGGGTCCCAAACGAGTGCAATTCTCATTCCATGAGTATTACCGTGCCTCTGGGGTTGGCAGTTCTGAAAGTTTAGTTAGTCTGCAAATAACTCAGGAACACAATAGAGGCCACCCCCCCCCCTTCCTCTCTCTCTCTCTTTTTTTTTTTCCTGCTTCCAAACGCCTTCTTTGAGGCTGAAGCTGGGCAGGTCTCCAAAGGTGCAGCAGCCACAACAATCCCGCAGTTCAAAGTTAAACAGCAGTTGCACAACTTCCAGCAACTCTCTCAGCCGGCTACTAATGAGCTGAAAGCCAGGCACACCGGAGGAGGTGAAGAGGAAACGTCCAGGCCTGCTCCCTTTGCTTAAGAATCCAGATAACCCAGCTCCACATCCCTGACCGCGTTGGACATTCCATACCTGCTGTGGGCTTGCCTGGTAGACCATGGCTCCCTTTGGAAAAAACTTGCTAAAGACTCGGCATAAAAACAGGTAAAGCATGTGTGTGTGTGTGTGTGTGTGTGCTGGTGTGTCTATTTGCGAACGTGTTCACTTACTGAGGAGAAGTATTTTTGTGGGACAAGAGCCTAAGGGAATTCGGCTCAGTCTGATATGGACAGCACTAAGCAGTGGGAAAAGGGCAGAGCAGTAAGAATGGTTGTGTCTAACTTCTTTCCCCCACCCCACCTGTATTCAGTCTTGTATCCAAGCTGGGACAGCCAATGGTTGCTGTTTCGGATGCCCTGGGCATCTGAAGGACGTAAGCTGGCAGGTTTCCTATTGCTTCCAGCGGGACTTTAGAGTGGGACAGAAACATTTCAGCTTTGGCTATAGATGTCACTAGACGTGAGAGCCACTCATTCCAATAAAGCACAGGTATTGATACAGTCTGGAAACTGTGCCTTGGCTCCCTGGAGACCGGGACATTCCTGGAACGTAGGAAGTCCCCAAAGTGCAAATACTCCCCAGAGAAACTTTATGTGAACCACTGTTTGTGAAAATGACAACTGTAAGTAGTTGGAGGCACTGAAGGAGAATTCAGACAGCTGTTCTCCTAATCCTCGATTCGTGCCAATTCACGTTGCTTGGATTTGATCATTTCAAGTCTGCAAGACCCATTGAATAAATACATACATAAATATACTTATCATACACACAGATTTTCTTCAGCTAATGTGTGTGCTTCAGTTCTTTCAACGATTTAGTTGCACTTCAAGTGTTACATATTTTTATGCCAAAAACAAAATGTGAGGGGAACTTTAGAAATGGAGTTTAGTTTCTGACTTTGTGTGTTTTGGTGTAGGGGCTTTTCCACTACTCTTCTCTCCAACCTGCCTGTTTGTACTTGTCATAATTCACTTACTATAAATGTACATGGTAGGAAATTATATAATTATTTTAGAGTGTTGGCATGACAATATGGAGTGAGAGCTTATCTCTCCATACCTTAATGTGTGCATAAATGTCTACTTCAAACATTGCTTTTCACTCATGCTATATGGATTCACAATTAATTTAACTTTTAGCACATCAATGACACATACTGTAAAACTTTCTTAAAGTTTTATTTTCTGGGAACTTAGTGATATGACTGGTGATCTATGAACATTAGTCAAGGTAGCTGTATATTATGGTTATTCGAGTCTTTAATATTTTTATGATATTGATGAGAAGAGGTGCATTTTAATGTGTGTTTATTTGGAAGAGTTCCCCACCAAAACACCCCCCCCAAAGTGCTTTTCTGAAACAGTGTATTGACATTTGTACAAGTTTTATAAAACAAGTTATGTTTCTGACATACCTATCCAGTTGAGACTACTTGGAGACTTTTTTTTCAATGTAAGATTTATCATCAGTGTGCCAGATAACAGGCCAATAAAACTTTGCAATCTCCTGTGAGTTTTGCTTGGGGAACTATGTTCACCACTTTCTTCAGTTTTACTATCACACCATCTCCTCTACCCAGAAAACTAGCTATTGTCCAAGGTGGTAAGTCCACATTCTTTTAATGTGACATTTTCTATGGGAAATGCTAAAAAAGCTGAAATGATGAGTAAAGACAGAATGTAGCAGTGTTCCTAGTTTCTGTGAGAAATTGAAATGATATTTCCTAAGGTGATATTTTCTTACCAGTGCAGGTGCTTTGCTGGAGGTCTAAATAGCTTAGGAGGTGCATACACCATTCTATTAATTCAGGACTTCCTTTTACAGATTTGTAGCTTTCTAAACCTGAAGGAAAAAAAAAATCAAATGGCTGCAATGATTGGTTAAGAGAAAAAGTGAGTGTCACGAATTAGTTAGTAAATCAATCACGTGGTATATTGAAATGGAAGTGGTTTATTGGGGATTATTTTGTATTGTTATATGTGAGCTCTTTCATTTCTTTCTGCCGGTTTTGCAGTGAAAGTACAGGTGACAATTAGTTATATGATTTCATTTACCATTTTGTTTAGTAGGTTCCACAATGATTTAAATCATCACAACCCAATATACAGAAATCAAATATCTTTCTTTAAATTGACTAAGGATTCATCCTTTTACAGAAAATGTCATTGACACTTAAAGTCATTTGATAAAAGCTAATGAATTCTTCAGCACTCCTTCAGAAAGGCAAAGGATGGATTTGAATAGTATATTGGAAGATCTTGTAACAGACAACTTGAACAATGAGAAGAACTATTTGGGTCTAAGTTCATGTTTATATGCAGAAACTGATGAATTACTAGAAAGAATATTGGTAACATGAGATCATAAAACTTTGAGAAAGGTGTTAGTGACTTTTCTTTGCGTGTTAACATGTACCTATCTTTCAGTTCTTGTTTACTCTTACAGTGGTATTTATTCATCCATGATTGAACCTCATGAGATAGTTCTTTTATTGTTCACATAAGAAATGGACATCTAGGAGTTGTATAGACAAATGGGATGCAAAATTTACTGCAGTTTTTATATCTATCATTGTATCTATATATGTATATATCTAGGAAGGCAAAGGGAAAACCTGAACATGGTGAATAGAGTGTAAAATAGTACCTGGAAATAATTATAGAGACCTTTTAAACCAGTTTAGATCATATCACAGGTGATAATATATAACCTCATCATATCAACCTAAAATTAAGAGGCTTCAAAAATGTACTTGCAATGAATACATTAAAAGTAAGTATTGAAGCCTTCTTATTGTGTAATTGGTATATAAAATTTATAGTACCTCTGCTTTGGGATGTACTAGAGCATTAAGAAAAGGAACATTCTATTACTGCTGTAAATAAATCATGAGATGACTGTTCTTCAAAAGAAAGAATTATTTTTTGTGGTTATGGTAAAAGTTGTTGTCAAGAATGTCTCTTATTAGATACCATAATTAGAAATATGGTGATTTATCAAATTAGCAAAAGAGGAAATTATTGCGCAGTATGTTTTGTACTCCTAAACTGAAAATTTAAGATGCTCTTAAAACTGCAGTGGGAAATGATAGATATCCAAGTATATAAATGTTCCTAATTTTCAGGAGTTCTTGAAGGTGATTTCCCCTAATAGTACTCAGAACCACAATCAGCTTACCTGGCAGCAGACAGGTGATTAGGAACAATGACTGGTATGCTTTGTTCATGGCAAAAATATCCCAGAAGCATTGGCACAGTTTAAATCGAGCTCTCGGTAAATACTTGAATGATTAAAATCTAATCCAACTTAAATCTACTGCAGGAGATATTGTGGATGTTAAGTCAACATATACCACAAGCTGAATAACTCTTAAATGAATTAAAAAAAAAACATTCTAAAAGTTTGAAGCTGTTTAGCACTCTTTATTTAGTTGATGTTTTGATTTGCTAGACTGGATAACTAAATAAATTTTGTTTTATTTCAGTGATATGTGCTTCTGGGAGATCAAATGATAGCACTAAATAGTTCTGTAGAGTTAGAAGTGTTGGCTTGTTCTTTTTATCTTACTAATGATGTTGGGAGAAGGTTGAAGGTATAGTATGCCTTTATCTCTTACAAGTATGTACAGATACCAGTTCTTGACAAGGAAACATATTGCCTTTCTAAAATGAGGCTTCTTGTATCTATAATATATATATATGTAAAATAAATGTATATATATATATGAATGTATATGTGTTTATATATATACGTATACAAGTTTAGAATGCATGCGTATACTAATATTCCTCACTGTGTATTTGCTTAAGGGATTTTTAAAGGCACTTCAGCACAGCCCTGGTAAACACTACATTTATTTCCTTAAAGTTAATTATTTACTACTTTGTAAATTGTTTCTATTTCTGTGGAGCCTGTTGTAATACTATACCTTTCAAAGAAAGTTAATACATTTGTTGGATGAAACTGAAATTAATCGCTAATACAAATAATCACCCAAATATAGCCGTGGGGCAATGTTTAGCACAGTTTTAAGCAAGGTATTCCAAGAATAACAAATACCAATGAATTTTAAGTGGGTTTACAAACAAGGGTATTTACCCACTCTTCCTGAAGGTTTATATCTGCACACTGCAATTCCCTCTGGTTTTATTAAATGATTTAAGATTTCTGCAATAAAATTCTTGTTCAATATGGGTCCCCTGAGAGGAGAGAACTTATTTGTACCATTTCTTTCTAAATAACCAATGAGTGGGAGTTCAATAAATATTTCTGCTTGGATGAAAATATCTAACATATTGTCCTTACCTGGATCAGAATATTAGATCAGTACATTTTGATTGAATGGGTGGGTGGTAACTTAAAATAATGATTCTACAAATCCAAGATTAACTTATCATCACCCTTGCTCCCATGCTCAACCCCTCCTTGTTTTCAAATGGTAAAGGGCCATGTCTGGCGAACAGGTGCCTGGAGACTTTCCCAGGAAGAGTTACTCATTCTTCAGGGTTGTTGTCACTTCCCCAAGGAACCTTAACATCACTCGTGTATGTACCTACTGATAGGGGCTAACTATCACAGACTCCATTGCCAAAGAGGGAGCATTTCTCCCCTTTTTTGAGATTTGTTTTCCCATATGAAAGGAGGATGTGTGCCTTTTGGTGTCAGATATCTAATTAGTTTATGAGATAAAGGCAAAGTCCTGAAAATAGAAGAAAAAAGGTTTTCTTTAAGGCTTCCAGCTTTCCCTCTGTCACAGCTGTGAGAAGCCTCTCGCCCTTGGAACTCCTGCATCTACACCCCAGTGTCTGGTTCAGAACCCTGCTGCTTTGCTTCTGGGCCACAGCTTGATGACTCAAGTTATTTGGGATCCTACCACCCACGTGGAAGTCCCAGATTGAGTTCTAGGCTCCAGGCTTCAGCCTAGCTCAGCCCTTTCATTGCAGGAAAATGGGAAGTCAACAGCAGATGGAAAATCTGTTTTTCAACTTAAGTGAAATAAGTGAAAAATAAATGGAAAATCTGTTTTTCAACTTAAGTGAAACAAGTGAAAAATAGTTTTCACTGTGTCGTCACCTGAGCCTAATCACATAGATTTGTCATTGCCA